ATGATCTTATAGTGTGCGCAATGAGCCATATGCATTTTTCCATACAAGTTTTTACAATGTTTGCGTACAAATGATGAATCATGAACTTATAATGTGTATTTTTACGAGTTTTAATGAGTTGATATGAATCATATGTATTTACGAGTTCTATATGAGGTTTAGATATGAATCGTTGTGATGAATCATTAAGTTAATATGAATCGTGCACGTGTGGTATGCATTTGTGTGTTGACATGAATCCACTCCCCTTATGTTACATTTTGATATAAATGTGAATGAGTAAATTTTGTGAGCAATGTTCACTACCTGTAGGCGGTGGCACCACCCCAGCTGGCAATAGCACCGCCCAGCTGGAACCTGTTATAGGCACTAGCACCGCCCAGCTGGTGGTAGCACCACCATCAAACAAGTGTTGTAGGTGGTAGCACCGCCCAACCAACGGTGCCACCGCCCACAACCTGCCCCTTTATAAATCCAAGCTAAGGCCGATGGTAGAACCGACCCCAACTCATTCTCCACTCCCCTAAATAGCTCCAAACCCCCTTTGAACACCATTCTCTCCCTCTAGCTGCCCAAAAAAAAAAATCCCTATTTCCTACTAGATCAAAGATCAATCTCCTGCATCCTCTTGAAGATCACAACTAAGGTATTCTCTAAATGATATTGATTTTTCTTTTGTATTATCTACTCTTGCTCATTATCTATCTTCATAATATCGGTCTTTATGGGTTCTAGAAGATCCTCTAGGGACAAAGGGAAGAGGACATTAGAAGAAAATTATGACTCCCTAATTTTTTATTCTAATCAACATGCCCTAAAATTTTCATCCATAGAATCTAGACATGTTCATAAGGGAAAATATATTGATTTAGATGAATTAAGTGATTTGGAACTGGTTTGCAAATCTAGACATTCTCCCAATTCTTCAAATAAGTTAACCTATCTACCCTAGACTTATTAGGCTATTTTACAATAATTTACATGTAGATGAAGAAGAAAGGGTATCTACCTATCTATTAGGACATTATATATCCATTACGGATAGACCAATTTGCGACATCATAGGAATCCCGATAAAAGAAAAAGGATGTTATTTTAGAGGACAATGGGATGATGAAATAATTGGGACCACTTACATTGATGCCTTAAGAACAATTTTTGGCAATCCTAATTTAACGATACTTCCAAAAAGTTGTGAACATTTACTACCTTTAAGCACCAAAATACTTCATCATATCCTGATAAGTATCATTCTCCCAAAGCAATATCATCATGATGAAGTAAGCCAAATGGAACTAGATACCATGTATTGGATTATGAAGGGGCATAACAATTATTTTGGTTACCTAATCTAACAAAACATGATTGAAATATCAAAAAAAGACATGATGCTTCTATATAGTGGCTTAATCACAAGATTACTCCATGCCTATGATATTGTTATTCCACCCGACGAAGAAGTTATAAAACTAGACAGATTTAGTATAATAAATAAAAATCTACTTCGATGGATGAGATGTATATTAAAAAATGGTATATGGACTAGAATGCCTAGAAGGACTGATCCCCTCCAACCTGAACCAGAACCCAAAACACTAATATTTAGGGGTAATCAATCTCCTCCAATTGGTCCCTTTGAGGAATCACCTCCAGTAGAGCAAGCACCTCCCTTATCTATCTACGATATAAGGACTCAGATGGATCATTTTGAACAACGATAAGATCGACTTGAACAATGCCAAGATCAAATCTTAACTGAGTTGTAGCACATTCATCAACAGTTTAATACTTTGTTTAGATATTTTAATTTTCCACCACCTGAATAAGCTATGTATGTATTTGGAGAGAATTGGACACAATTCCTCTTTGTTATGTTGTAATCCTATGTTGTTTACCTTAATGTTGTAAACTTAAAATGCTACTTACTTTGACTATCGCAATGATGTGCTTTGATGCCTAAAATGCTACTTACTTTGATAGTAAAATTCTGTGCTAACTACCTTGATGGTTAAATTCTGAGCTTACTTTAATGAATATATCACTCTAAGAATTAGACTTGATATATCTTTTGAATGGATAAATTCCTTGATACATTTAACTGTTGGTATCTATGACTTGATGTATTATGATCATTTGCTGAGTTATGAATGTTAATTTGTCTGAATGCATGAATTTGATATATATCTTTTTCGGACTATCTTTCACTTAATGTATTTCTTGAATGGAGCTTTCATGAACCTATTTCATTTTTTATCTTTCTTGGTATTAAGTTTACTTCATACCCTTGCTCCATCACTTAATGATTTTTTATACATAGAATTAATTGACAAATGCATCTCTCACATATTTATCTTTTGTGAATTTTTAATGAGAAATGGATTTGATGTGATACTCCTCTCATTATGAAGGTTTATTCATGAAATTTCTTTTGTCATGATTCTTTCACATGAATTCTTTCTTAATAAAGGAAGATTTTTTATGATTTTTTTTGTATGAGATGAACCCTTGCAAGAATGAGGATTTGATTTCACATGAATATCTTGATCCTTGTGAAAATTGAAGCATGATTTAATGAAACTCTTTTACCATTTTAAACTTCATTCAAAGTTAGTTCTTAATGGATTTTCATCCTTACTTTCCTTCTTCATGCGAAGTTTTAATGAAAAATAAAAGGGGAGAAGTTAAAGGAAGCTATCTTTTTAATGTTTATAACTTTTAATGTCGAGAACTTTTGAATGATACCATGAATGCTTGAAATATGATTGGTATACAAATTAAAATGTGGAATGAATTTTTACCACACTTGCATTGTTGAATCGTTCTCCTTTTTGTTGATGACAATGGGGGAGAAATAATACCAAAATGTGGTAAATTAATGACAAATGTATACAATATATTTCATCATATATACTTGAAATGAATTTAACTTATCGGTTTGATTCTTGAATTCAAGGCCTTGAATTCAAGAATGTCTTTTTTCAAGTATGGCATATAGATAGGGGGAGTTCAGATTAACTCCGTCATCAATTGATTGTCATCATCAAAAAGGGGGAGATTGTTGAATCTCGGATTTTGATGATGAAGTCAATTGTAATTTGTTTGATCTAATCTATATGTTGAGAAAAGTGTACAAGATTAACTACGATGGTAGTAAAACATAAAGTAGGTGTTGTGCCGGAGTCAAGATCGAGATCTCATTAGGAGTTCGAGAGTTCGACGGAAGTCCAAACGTTCATCGGAAGTTCTACAGGAACCAATCGAAAAGTCTAGGAGCTTACCATAGAAGCTCGTCGAAACTTGCCAAGAATATCGTCGTAAAGTCCAGAAGCTTGCTGGGAGTCCACCGGAGTATTGCTGAGAGTTCGTCGGATGTTCGCCGGAAGTACACCGGAAGTTCGCTAGAAGAGCAATTGACGCATTGGAATCAGATGAACTGTGATCATGTCTTAATTATCGTAATTAGAACGTAAATTAAGTTAAGATTGGGAAGTAATCTCACTACTTAATTAGGGGCCAACTGGGCCCTTAACAAGGTTGATTTGGGCCAGATTGAATAGCCCAATCATCCCCTGAATTCCTAGCCGGCGGTGGCACCACCTGGAAAGCAGTGCCCCCCAGCATTTCTGGGCAGTGGTACCACCGGTAGTTATTGATAACTACCAACGGTGGTACCGCCCCTGTCAGGCAGTGGTATCACCCAGACTAAGTAGGAGTACCGCCTAGTGTCATGTGTCAAGCGGTAGTACCGCCCAATAATGGCGATGGTACCACCAAGACCCCGAAAATCTGGGATTAGACACTTTTTGGCTCCATTTTGAAGCCATTGGGGCCTATAAAATCTTATCCTTTTCTGTATGAAAGGGCACGAAATCTATTGGCTTAATCTTGAATTCTTGAGTCTTAAACTACTGTAAAAGTTAGAGTTTTCCTCCATCTCTTAGGCTTGTAACCATCCAAGAGGAGTGAGACTTGTAAGGGTTCATCTCCTAAACCCGAAAAAAGGAGAAAGTACTGCAAAGAGGTATTCGGTCTTAAATATTGAAAGAAGGCCTTTAGTGAATGCCGGTGACCTCGTCGGAGGAGGAATCCGAAAGTGGATATAAGTCACATTGACCGAACCACTCTAAAACTCGGTTTGCGAACAACTTTCTTTTATAGTAAAATATTTATTTTGAGTACCAAATTTAATCTTAGTTTTCCTTCGACAGGAGAGGTAGCTGTGTAGAAAAAAAAAAAAACAAGAATTAGATTTCAGAATTTTATCTTATTTATGAATCCTGATTAGGTTACATCAAAAACACCAGCAGACTAGTTTTTTTTCTCACAACAAATTCCTTGTCCCCGCTCATGTCGGAAAGAAAACACAGAATCGTGTGGTTCTAATTAGAATTATTTGTTTAATCAGGATGCCTAGTTGACATTTGTTCTACTTGTTATTTCATCTTCCTCTTCTCCTTCATCGCCTTCTCTTAATACTCTTTCTTATTTTCTCTATTACTTTCTATACAACAGTTAGCTAGTTCTAGGTTTTATCTGTCCAGTCTGATAATTTGTCTAGCACAATTTTCGACGAATTGGAAGGTTAACCAAGTCAGCCATAGAAACTATAAGAGGAAACGAGACAACTTTTATGTACTTTGGTTATTAACACTTTGTAATAAAAAATCTAACATATAACACACCAAGTGTAGCAATGGATAATGAAATAAAAACAGTTTGCAGAGCATATAATATGATGGTACGACTCCTACCAAGATTATTACCATATGATCACTCTGCACAATTCAAACAAAGTAGAATAAGTAATTTTCTTACATTGTTGACTAGATTGTATCCATGACTTTTTAGGAAGCACTGTAAGTTTAAAATCAAACCAGCAAAGTATATATATATATTATATATATTCTCCACTGGATTTCAGATGCCAAGTTTTGCAAAAAATAAAGGAATGACAACTTCTCAAACAAGAATTATTGGAAAACTCAAATCACTCATGGCATTTATATCAAAGTTTTAAGGTCAAGATTTATACGAAAAAGCATTCTCAATTGTCAGACATGTTCTTCGTATAAATCTTAAAGCAGCAGAAGAGAATTTGGATAATAAAGTTCAAGCCTCAAATTTTGAAAATTCTTTTGTCAGAATTATTAATCCTGATTGAAATTTATGTTTTTCTGAGAGTTTGGAGATGGTACGTCCTGGCCGTTGTGACTTCCCTGGGGAGAATCAAGAAAGAATGCAATTATATGCTCACAAAGCTCTTTAGGCTTCTCAAGATTCACGGCATGCCCAGCATTGCTGATGACTGCCAATTGAGAATTATCCCCTAAATGCCTGCAGATTTTAGATTACGGTCAAATGAAATGTTTAGGGAAACGAACTTTACTCATTCTACAATTTACAGACCTCTGTAATCTGTGAGCCAATTCTAATGGAAAAATCTGATCTTGCTCGCCCCAAAATATCAAGGTTGGCTGCACAGAGAAGCAAATGACTTTAGGACAAAAACCTTAATGCGATAAAAAAAAGTTACTTGCTCTTTTCACAGTGATGACTTTTCCATTAACCCAAGTTGCAGATATAAGTTTTACCCTTTCAAATAGCATTCTTTGTGGAATCTGTTAAAGAAAATAAGAAAATTGGCAATAAAATGTAAGATATTAATGGCATGAGATATTAGAATCACCTGGTTTATCTTTGGAAGGTCCGAATGTTTCCTTTCATTGAATACGGCTTGGATCAACTCTGTCTTCTCTTTCACATAATCTTTGCACATCACCTGCCAGAGGAGACAAAGCCAAGCCATCAAAAGTAAGTTTATATAATTAATTACCTACATCGTTCAAATGAATTCTTAGGAAGAAGTGTAACAATATCTATATGAAGAACAATGAACAATGCTAAGTTTGTTCATCCTAACAAATAGGTATTTGAAGCAATAATGCTAAGCTGCACAATCAGTATAACTTCAGTTCATCCCAACAAAATGTTCTCAAGGTTTGTGTTCTTCATTTTTTGGTCCCAATTCTGTCATAGGTTAGAATCTAATGATATTTAAATCACTGTTTTCAGGACATAAACTAATCTCCAGTACGTGGATACATTAAAAAGTTTAGTGGATGCAGCCAAATTTTGAGGTCATGAAGCCAAATTTTTGTCTTCTACTTCTCAAGAAAGCAAACGATGTCTTGAAGTTATTCCAGAACGAATGCAGAGACATTCGTTATCGAACTACCCACCTGTATGTAATCCCGGAGGAAGACGGACGGCATCACGAGCTGCGGCCGGACGAAGGACAGTCGGACGAGCTGCCGCAGTTTTTCCGGCCGCTGGGGCAGCAGGATCTCTATCGCCTCCCGCAAGTCCGACACGACGAAAAGCCCCGCCGCAAGGTCGCGCTCCTCAAGGCACACGCCGGCGCAGCAGAGCACCACCCGTTCCACCGCCGTCGGGTACATCGCCGCCATCCGATAAGCCACAAACCCGCCGTAGCTCACCCCCACGAGGCCGAATCGCCGAACGCCGGCTGCCTCCATGGCGGCCATGATGCATTGGGCCTGGTATGATTCGGACCTGTCGGGACCGGGCGCGGCGGAGACGCCGAAGAAGAGAAGATCGGGGACGTAGAGGTCGAATCCGGCTCCGAGGAGGGGGCGTAGGTGTGCGGACCACTGCCAAATGGCGGTGGCGCCGAAGCCGTGGAGAAGGAGGAGCGGGGAGCGAGAGGGGTCCGGGCGGGCGGGGACCCAACAATGGACCGTGGCGCCGTCCGCGAGGGCTGTGGCGGAGGGACGGAGGCCGGCAGCGAGGAAGGCGCGGCGGTGACACCGGTCCCGGAAGACGGTGAAGCTGAGCCACCGCGGCATCCCCTCGGCTGCGTTGGACCTCCGTGTCCAGTCGGGGGAGGTTGGTTCTTCAATTGGTCCCGTTGGAAGTTTTTTGACCGTTGGTTGCAAGCGAGGCCCGCGAGGCTCCCCTGCCTCGTCGAAGCCAGGGGCCAGGAATTCACATTCCAAGAATGACGTCACGAAGAGAATGACATCGTCAGCCCAGGTAGTGCGAGCGAAGCGGGGATGTCGACCGCAACTGGTTTGTTGTGAGAGACTTACCATTTCCGTGTCACCCGTTCATCTACTTGCGTCGTGATTGGATGAGCCATGAGTTTGCTGTCATTACATTGGCTCATGAGGTTGCTTTATATTTTCCTTTTCAAGTAAATATATAATGATCGAGAGACGATACACGAATAAATAATAAACTAAATTAAATGCTATTTTCTCTGGAAATGTCTAAATATATAAAGTGGAGCATATGTTCTGTTTTTAGCAATAAAAAAATGTGTCATATATATATATATATATATATATATATATATATATAATACCGATCTGATATTTATTATGATAATTTGTAGGAGAAATATAGTACCAAGATGCCAAACTATGTATCAACCTATACTACCTAGTATTACTAAATAAATAAATAAAAATAATAAATTGAACGCTTAAATGATTACTAATTATTGGTTGGTAGATACCCATCAATATTTTTAAAATATAATTAAAAATAAATTGAAACCCCACTTAAGCATGATGAATTCTAAAATTTACTTTGAAATAAAATAGATTATGTTTTTTATAGACACATGGACTGTCTATCTATCGACATCATGATCGAGCATCACGTCTACATCAATATCAAGTTGTCATCATTTCAACACTAGTTAATCTTATAAGCTGATGAAACTCTTTATCTCATTAATATGAGCCACGTGGACTCTAAATATAGTGAATAATCGTTCAATAAACCTTCTCATGATCAAATAGTGTTTAAATATATCGTCTGTTATGTCACTATAGAAAGTTGCATTATGTTTATCGGAGTAATCCACTGTAAAATGTCTTACGTGCATATATATTTTTTTACTTTATGAATATTTCAATTCACTTACTAATTTAATCATTAGATAAGCCCTTTTGATATACTCTTTATAAGAGATATTTTAAAATTATCTCATCCTCAACACCACCAAGGCTTTATAATAAATAGGCTTTGAATATTGGACTCGGATTGACCCATAACTCCTTTTAAGTGTTAAACAATAATAATCCATCTTCAAATATCACATAACACGTAATTGACATTTGTAGGATTTTAATTTCTGATATTTGAAATACATATGATGCTTTAATCATTAAAAATATCTCATTCAAAATAGAATAATTTTCTTTTAAGAGGGGAGAACATAATTGAGATGATTGTGCCTCCTTGATAAGTAAGTGGTTACAGAATATCGTAAACATAAAAGATGCATCGACGAAAAGTGCAAAAAGAAAAAAAAATACAAATGATATGAGCTAAAAGTGAGTTTAGTAGTGAGACAGACAAGCCGAAAACAACTCAGTCTAGCTTGAGACGAACATCCACCACCGGAAGAGACCAAAGGCATAGATGAGGGTGATTAGTGCGGAGCTCAGACGATACAATCGAAATCTGCATACATAGCACTAAAAATGTAAGAGCGCTCTTATAAACCAATAAAAAGTCATTAACCAATTAAATTAATTGACATCGTCAATAAAAAATGATTATTATTATTATATAAAGAATGATTACTAGAGATATAAAATTCCAACTCTAACCCCACGATGTAGACTTTTATTTAAGTGTCCGGAAATCTTTTATAGAAGCATTTAATATATTTACAAGACTAATCCTCGACCTAAAGATGATCCAAGTTAGAAATTTTGGGGTGAGAATTAAGTATGATCGATCACTACAAGAACTAAACCTCCAGCTTGCGGGAGAGCGACCGGCGGCAGCGGCGACGGCGGTAGCTCTACGAGCACGCATGAACGCGAACCACTGCGGGAAGTCCTGATGGAAGAACTCCCAGTCCGGCAAGAGGATCCCGGCGATCCCCACAATCCCGACGGCGTAAGTGGCGAGCATCTTCTCCAGGGAGAAGGTGCAGACCCCGACGACGACCACCGCCGCCACGATCACCACCATGCCCTTCTGCAGCGCCGCGTCCAGCCTCATCTCGCGAGTCCTGAACGCAGCTGGAGCAGGCACTGGCGCTCAGGAGGAGGAAGAGGAAGAAGAAGAAGAAGGAGGAGGGGTCGATGTGGACTCTTACCGAGACCGCGTCATGGAGAACACGTGTTCGGTCTATATGTGAACTACGTAACTTGTAGCCTCTCGACAGCCCGCTAGCAATTTAATTCTTGGGATTTAAGAGCCCAACAACACAACCTATTAGTTTGTCGAGGCATTTACTGCACCAAACCAAACTGTTGAACGATGGGATGGGACGGGATGGGATGGGATCGGGGGTTGCGGATCGTTAAAATATCAAGTAAAAGAAGCATAATGCTGGCATTTTTGCATGCCAACATAAATGAAAAAAAAATCCGCATCCCCGTTTTATCCATTTCTCTCATGAAGAAATCTGCTTAAAGAAAGCAAGAAAAATGAGCATATCGCGTTAGATTTCTGTTTGTCTATGCACACACAAAAAAAAAAAAGTGTGTCGGCAAGCAACCTCTGATAGAATATACAAGTGGAGAACAGTTAATTCCATGTATTTGGTTAAGAAAGCATGATGAATAATTGAATTACTCTCCTATAATAACATATCACTGAGCGAAAAGAAAAAAGGATTTTAGGTCCATATAGCTAAAAGTCCAGAGAATGGTCGACGAGGGGACTGTATAAAACGAGGCCTAATGCTTCCTTCACAGTCATACCTTTCTCAATATTTGGGCTTGAGTGTAGCATCATGTATAACCATTATAATAACTCTTTAATTATGTTGTGGCTTATCAAATTTTCTACTTAATATGAAATAGGCTTCTTGATAACACTTTAATGTTAAGTAACCAAAAATATTTTATTAGCAAACCAAGTTCCATAACTTCCACTTAAATCACTCTTCCATAAAGTCAATTTCAGCATTAAATCAATAATATTTTGATTTATCTCTTGGTGCAATCATGCAGAGGTCATATTGAGGTATATAAAGAAGTCTTATTTTTGTGAGAGTGTCTAGTTTTTTTGGTAGTCCTTTCTTACTTGACTTGAGTAGCTCTAATAGTAAATGCCATGATCGGACTTGATGAGATAATTAATCTATCAATTTCATTTAGTCCAAATCAATAATTAAAATATTTAACTAAAATTAATAATAATATCAATTTTAATCTTGTCCACCTTGGGACGGATATTACATTTATTTACCAATGATACATTGATTGATCTTTTAATAGTTTGGGTAAAGATAAATTTATTAACGATTTCTTGGCTAGTAATCGTAAGAAGCGAGAGCTATGTTATTAATGAAGGCATGAACAAATATAGATGAGTGCAGATAGATGATCCTTTTGTTGAGATAATTGGTCAGAGATTAGTTTTCACGTTGCTTAATGTTAGGATAATGGCCAAAATAGGCCTAAGATGAAATTGAGCTTAAAGTTTCTTCCTCGAGAGTCAATTGTTGTATACAGAGTCATATGTGCCACAAATGTTGTAATGTGCTTTGTTAAGTCGATGCTTACATCGAAAGCCTCCAACTTAGGGAGCTAACGATGGATACTGATGGACGATGGAATTCTAAAGGGTCATCAATTATGCCAATTAGGGAAGAAGTGAAATGATAATGTGAATCCTCCTTAACAATGCCTAAGATTGTTGACTTCGAGGAAGATATTTATTTCATGTCATTCCCTAGTATAATGGATAATTTAGGATTATTGAAGAGACGTAATGAGTTGTGCCGAACCTAATTGATGAAAAAAAATATTTTAAAAATATTAATATGATTTATGATGTCATAAGTACCGTCGATCGATGAGTTGGCATGGTTTGTCCACCGCCAAAGATGCAAGCTCTTTCAGGTGTTTCTTCCTGACTGACATAGGATACTTAGTGAGATGGAACCGAACAACCAAGTCGGAAGTGGTCATATTGATGAGAACTCGGTTTGAGAAGGTTGAGTAGGCAATATGGGATCTTCTTGGCTGCAAGGTTCTCTCTCGAGGTCGGGTCATCAGTGTGTCCCCGAGAGATGGTTTGTCTCGTGATTGCATGGTCGTGTCTTGATAACAGGGTCGCCTCCTGACCGTCGATGATCCTGCATGATAGGCTAGCATTGGTGGTTACCTGGCACAGCCCCTTTGATGCTTAAGTCAGCAAAGGGAAAAAGACAATAGTGTAAACTGTAAGATTGAGTTAGTGTATAGAGAGTTACCTCCACTCAACATGAGCTGATGGGTTTCTTTTTATACCTAATCCTTGGATCTTCTTACTGATCTGTCTGTGATAAGATTAGGTGAATCGCTTGATGATTATCTGATCTTGATAAGGTAGGACGGTTATCGCTAGTCATTAATATGGTGCACATCGAGATATACTGCGATGCCATTTTGGGGTTGGTGACATAAAGTCATACTTAGCTGTTGACCTGAGATAAAATCATCCCTATCATCCATGTAATTGAAGAATAGTATAAAAAAAGTAGAGATGAGATTCCAGATTTATATATGTCACAAGAATATTTAAGGTTTTAAATCAAAGGTAATTATAATAATTGTGTAGCTTAGGTGAAAATATAATAATCAAAGATTTATGTAGGTATTTAAAGAATTTTATTATCTCTTATTTTTTTTAAAATCTTAATTCATAATGATGAAAAGTGTGAAATCTATTAAGATGTTAATAGCAGGAGAGGGAGGTTTGACTTAGTCTGATAGTAAATTTGTATCAATTTTAAAAATTAATAAAAAAAAAAGTACTAGATGAGTAAGAGTTACAAATAAATAATTATGAATAAAAGTCATAAACAAGAGAAGGGATACAAACTAATTTATTGTGGTTCGATTTTCGTGATCTATGTCTACTCATGATTCTTCTTTCATTGAGGCTATTGGCTTTTACTATCGATTTTCCTTTTGACGGATGAAGATCAATTATCCTTATAATTTTTTTTTCTTTTAGGTTTTTGAGAAAACTTTTAAGCTTACTTTTTTTATAAAAGATAGCTCACCTTTTATAACTTAATATTTCAACTAAACTAAAGAGAGAAGAAAAGACTCGAACAATACTCAAAGAGAGAGCGATAAAATTTTTTAAACTAAGAATGAATGTTGCATCAACAAAACTTGAGTGAAATATTTAAATCACTCAAAAGACTTAAAAAATAAAGTTAAAATTTTAAATATCTACAATTTCAAGGTACATGTGGTACCCATTGTTGACTTGGATGGTATTATCATCGTAATATTTGAAATGCAATCGCAATACTAGACTTTGGTGATTCTACAATCGTAAAATTAAATATATGGGTGGTATCATCTCTACCCAAGATAGTACAACCACCACCTTAAGTGATAATATCATCGAAAAAGTTGACAAAGCATAAACAGTACTTATCGGCTGAATTAGTGTTATAGTAAATTTTAATCAATCTTAAATCTGATCAAGAAGAATACATATATTAGAAACACAAACAACTAAATATGGAGTGTGAATAAGAGTTACAAATAAGGTGAATGATCACAAGCAAAAGTCATAAGTAAAAGAAAAAATTTAAATCGATTTATAGTAGTTTAGTCTTCCTAAGATATATCCACTTCCGATTCTTCTTCTATTAAGGCCACTAGCCTTCACTATTGATATTCCTTTCAATGGATGAAGATTAACTACTTTTGTTATAATTTTTTTTTTAAGATTTAGAAGAAAACTCATACTCTTTTATAAGAGACCTCTTACATCTTATAATTTAATATCCAAATTAAACTCAACAGGGGAAAGACTCAACAATACTAAAAAAGAGAACTATAATACTTTTCAAACTGAAGAATAAATGATGTATCAACTAAGATTGAGTATGATATTTATATCCCAAAAAAAGATAAAAAATAGAGTCAAAATTTTAAATTTTTTAAATTTCAAGATATAAACAATAATAGCTGATGGTACTATTGTTGTAATATTTGCAACACAATCACAATATTATACTCTAGCAATCGTACTATCACAAAATTAGACTTATGGGTGGTTCCACCTCTGCCCCTAGGTGGTACGACCGTAGGTGGTACTATTGTTTGAAAGATTAACAAAGTATAAATAGTGTTTGTTGGCGGACTTAGATGGTATTATCACCCTAGGCTAGTTTAGGTCATATATTTAGCTTTCTAATGGGCCCAATACGACTCAACTTCAAGCTTAATAGATTTTATAAAAGTAGGCTCTATTTTAGCCCAATGCTAATTCAAATTGGCCCAAAATTATCTTGACCAAGACTTTGACTCATCAACCATTCCTTCGAGGCTTTCGACACATTATTCACTCTTTGGATATATCATCCAAACTTTTTTCACTTCATTAGAACCTATAATATATCATCAAATCCTCTAGAATATCGACTTTACCATAATATTTGAACCTCTAGTTCATGATGTTTTAATATGATATTCATGACATTTGATCTTTTAACATGATATCCAATCCTTTTATCACAATATGATATCCAATCCTTCTATCATGTATTTGAATATCTAATTCAAAATCTATTTTTTAACATATTGACCAACCCCCATGCTCAACATCCATTTTCTAGCATGATAATCTTTTTGCATAATGTCTAACTCTCTTGCTTAACTTTTGGCTCTTAAGTGATCTGAGTATGTGATTAAAGTATTTTTACATCACTTATCTCAAAAAAGTATATTAGTTTATCAAATTTATTAATTAATTTTATTATCAAATTTTAAAATTTAATAATATTTTTTTATGATGATAACCAATTTGTTTTATCATAAAAAAATAAGACTCCCCTATCTATATATCACTTAAAAATATTTATGATGAAATTGAACTCAAGATTAAATGAGCATATTTCCCTTATATGCTAGTCTTCAATTCATATTGTTCTTATTAATTTAATTATTTCAAACTCAAATATCAAGGTACAATCAATTTTTAAATTTAAAAATAATATTCGATTACTATCAATATATAATACCGACCATTAGTTATAAATAAAAAAAAAGCATAAGTTAACCATTTGCATAAGTTAAGAATTATATAACCACAAAAAAAATCATAATTCTCCCTATTCATCACATAAACTAAAGCAAAAGC